TTTATTCTAAATAAAATCAGTGTTTGGACTCTCCACTGGAAAACAAAACACTAGAAGCGACATAAAAGGAAATGCCTTGTGAAGTTGGAGGTGATCCTAAGTTACATACTGTTGAAGGCTGATTCCTGCCTTGTTTAGAAAAGGGTCACCATAATGCTTTTAAGGCTTGACGCCTGCAGCAAATCTCTTGTTATTTACAGAGAAGAAAAAGGCATAAACTCATTTTCTTAATAAGCTGCTTCAGTTTTTCAAATAGTTCTAAGAGATGCCAAAGGCTTGCCTTAGTGAATAAGCACCCAGAAAATCCAGAGCATAGCAGAGTCGGCTGTAGCATTTGGGCCCCAGCATGTTGCTGGTGAGATTTTAGCAGCTATAGGTAGGTATGAGGTATAAATTTTAGCAATTCCTACAATATTGAGTGAGATTAAAGAGGATGATATGAACTAAAATAGCTGTATAGAAGGGAAAAAGGGATACTAATTGGGTTTCCAGAGGAATACACTATTTCCTTTTAAAAAATTATGTTTCATTTTTCTTCAAAATAAAGAATACATGGTATCTACAGAAATTCAAAGATTAAAAAAAAATTCCCCAGCTTTGTTACCCAGAGATAACTCTTAACTGTTTCATATTTTTTGTTATATAAAATTTTTGAACATCAACTGTAACAGAATACAACAGTTACTATTATGGCATTATGTAAAAATGTGGATGTGTAACTGATGTGATTCTGCAATCTTTGTAATGTTTTGAATAACCAATAAAAAATAAAAAAAATAAAATTAAAAAAAAACTTAGAGAATGAAAAAAAATTCCATACTACTGTTACTTTTGCATATCCTTGTCCAGACCTTAATTGCATATAGATTAGTAAAATTATAATACTTTGTTCACATATTTCCAGATCACCATATTTCATATTCTATCTTCAATGCCAAGTATGTAGCAGGTCTACAATCTAGTATTTAGGAACCACTGACCTAGAATAATTTAATGTTATTTAATGTTATCCTTAACGATTGGGAGCATAGTATCTTATTTACTATCCTATAAGAGGACATTCATATTGCTTTCAAATTCTTGCTACTTTAGAGGTGGCTATGGTAACAATATTTCTCAACTCAAGGTGATTTTATTCACCAGGGTACATGTGACAAGGCCTGGGTGATATTTTTGGTTGTCACAACTCTTGTGGTAAGACCATAATAATAGTTAATGGGCTAGAGGCCAGGGATACTGCATTTTACCAAGTACAGAACAGCCCTACACAATAAAAACTATCTCTCTCAAAATGTCAACAGCCACGGTTGAGAAACAAAATTTTTCTAATATCAGATTATTTTCCTGGAATATACACACTTGGAGAGGCAGTATCTTACTAGGGACTATGTTGTCTACAGAAGAGGACAGAACTGAGGAGAGTTAACAATACAAACTTGGCAACAAACTCTTCTGACTCCTCTCTACAATAAAAACAATTTCTACCTCACATGTCAAAACTATACAAAGTGCTTCTTTAGATGTCCAATTAATAGCAGGGGATGGTGTTGTTGTAGAGGTGCGGAGAGTGCGATCACGATCACATTTCAAGTTTTGAAACTGGCCGGAATTCAAAAAGCAAAGTTTAGAGACTCTGAGCCCACACAGGGTAATCCCACACCCGTCGGGCCAAAAAGCCGGAAAAGGCGGTGACCAAGACCCAGGAAGCAGCAGGAAGTTTGGGTTCCGGGTCTACCTCCACTGGCCAGGGGCTCTAGGCACCTGCCTCATAGAGCATTGAAGAGTTGAAGGCACGGAGGACAACGGCCCTTGGGATGGATTCAAGGAGTGACCATGGCCCAAACTCCACACTCACCTGCCTGAAAGCCTCTTTCCAGGACGCCGAGCCCACCTGTTTGTACAGCGAGCGTCGCTGAGATCCAGCAGGTTCTGCCATCTCTTAGAGGGAGTCGCTGCCAATTGCCCCGCCCCTGGGAACGCGCAGAGACCTCTGGGAGTTATAGTTTCTGGAGAAGATCGCGCGTAGATAGCAAGGAATTCTGGGAAGTGTTTTACAGGTCAGCCCCACACGAGACTGATTTGGGCCAACTAAGGGTAGGTGGGTGGATGAAAAAGTGACGTTTATGAGGTCAAGCCAATCTGGACTAAGAGCGGTAAGTCCTGAAGGARRGTTCTGGATGCCTGGGTTTACCCGAATGGAGGTGTTCGAGATGCAATGACATACGCAGACCTCCGTCTTTACCTTAGGTATTAGATTCCGAGCAGAGAACCAAGGCTGACTCTAAAGAAGCACTGTTCTATTCACTTTGGCCCGCCCACTTTGACTTCTTAATGAATACCAACCTGGCAATTGGCTTGCCCTTGAAGATGCCCTTGCTTGATAGGCTAGTTCTCCTAAGTCCCGCCCCTAGCGCTAAAGTCGTGTTTCAGGGCTTCCTGTTCGATGATTGGCTGAAGCAAAGGATGGCTAGCCGAGGATAGGCTGTGCTCAGCGGCGGGTCAAGCAACTGTAGCGAGGAAAGCAGTTGGGTCAAGATGGCGACTGCCGAGGGTCCGGTAGTCGACGGTGATCTGTGGCAGACCTGGCTTCCTAATCACGTTGTGTTCTTGCGGCTCCGGGAGGGACTGAAAAACCAGAGCCCAGCAGACTCTGAGAAACCGGCTTCTTCATCATTGCCCTCATCGCCGCCTTTGCCGCCGCAGTTGCTGACGAGAAACCTGATCTTCGGCCTCGGCGGAGAGCTCTTCCTGTGGGACGGAGAAGGCAGTTCCTTCTTAGTGGTTCGCCTCCGAGGCCTCGTCGGTGGTAGTGAGGAGCCTTCGCTCTCCCAGTACCAGGTACGGCCTGGCCATCCTCGGTCGGGATCTGAACTTGTTTTGTGTTTCGTTTTCATCTTGGCTGTTTTTCATCTTCTGGTGGGTGTGCTGTTCGGGGACAACCCACTTCAAGCGGAAAAGCCCTTTCTATCCAGCATGTTTATTGACTCCTACCCTGCCCGACACTTTGCGGAACTCACGCTGTTCGGTGCTTGTGTTCCGGGGGTCTGGGAGGAAGGGGAGGACTGTGGAATACTTAATAAAACGTCGGTGATGGTTAAGTACTCTGAAGAAAACCAATAGGGTAAAGGGATAGAGAATGTGTGGCGGAGTGGCTATTTTTAGAGGTTGTTCTAGAGAACCGTATTTTATGTCGTGACACTCAAATGGGTATAATCATAACTTTCTCTTGGGTTGTGAGCATTGCCAAGATAGTGGAGTTGAAAGCAAGTTTCAAGCCTGAGATGGAGGAACTAATTTTTAATTATTATTTCCTTTTAGTAAATTAGTTCATTCCCCAAATTGGAAATTTTTGGTATCGCCAGTAGCGCGTGAAAGTGAGTGTGATTGGAAAGTATGCCAGACTTGCAGGGATCAAACATCGCTTTGTGTAGATGTTTATTTGTAGGAAATTGGCCTTCCTTTTTCATTTTAAAAGTAAGTGTGGCAACCATTTTAGTGAATAACATCTGTTACGTGCCATGGACTAATTCTTTTTGAAAGGTGATTTGATTTTAACAAGCTACTACTAATGCTTCTGCAGTTTTCAAACAAAGTCAAGAGTCTAGAATCTGTTTACTGTAAAACTTAAGTTAAGAATAATTATTAGGTGTTCAGCACCCAATTTTTTTCTTTTCTTTTTTCTTTACCCTCTTTTTTAAGAGATGGGGACTTTGTGTGTTGCACAGGCTGGCCTCAATTCCTGGTCTCAGATGATCCTCTCAGCTTCGCAAGTAGCTGGGACCACAGGTGCACACCATTGCATCTGGATCCAGCACACAGTATTATCATAGCATTCTATATGCTATGTAGCATTTTGCACAGTAAACTATTTAAAATTATTTATTTATTGTCTTCTTTCTAGACCACAAAATTGGGAGTGTGTGTGTGTGTGTGTGTGTGTGTGTGTCTACCTTAACTCATTTTTGTTTCCCCAGCGCATGACAGTGCCTGGAATATGTAAGCTCTCAGTAAATACTAGTGACCATCTTCAAAACCTTCAGACTTCTAGAATCTCAAAAACTCAAGGTTAAAAAGAAAGTAGTTATCATGCATTATAACACTGAATATTAATAAAAGCATGAGTAGTGACTTTAAGAACAACAATAACAAAAACTTAGTTTCTGGGATTGTTACAAATAAACTAATGTGATCAGATACTTATCAGAAGCAAGGTTTCAATCCTCTGTTTGGTTTGAGTTACAGTCAAAATCAAGTAGAAAGAAGTTGGGGATTGAATATAAAGAACAGAAGGAAAGAACCTCTGATGAGAAAAAAAGTCAATGTGTTTAGAAACAGCAAAGGCAGCTAAAAGACACATGCTTCCAGATATCCATAACAATAAGTAGAAGTCTCATATTTTGGAACAGTCTGATCTAAAAAGATTTTGACTTAGGATGCTTCTCTAAACATAAGAAAGGCGACATATTGGCAGTCTCATAATTTTATAACTGAAAGTAGAAAGAAAATGGGGATCTGAGGTAGTTATGAGAGAAAAAATGGAAAGTACCAATAGAAAAAGTGATTTTTTTTGAGGACATATACCAAGACAAATAACTTATTGGAACCCCCTTAAAACATCATGTCTCATCTTTTCTAAATCAGCATTAAAGCAGCATTCTGCTTGCTGCAAAAGTTCTTGAAACCATTTTATTGTATTATAATAGTTATTTATTAATACTTCTGAGTTTATTTTGTCTACTCATTAAATACACACATACACACATACATATATATATATTGGAGGGGTACTGGGGATTGAACCCAGGGGGTGCTTAATCACTGAATCATATCCTCAGCCCAGTTTTTATTTTATTTCGAGACATGGTCTTGTATGTTGCACTAAGCACATATTGAGAGTCTATGATGTGCCACATGCTAAGCTAGGATACAGAGAAGAGTGGCACATTTCAAGTAATCCATAGTTATATGTGTGAATTGAGCAAGTGAAAAAGTCAGTTAGAATGCAGAATAGTGGAATTATCCAGAAGGAACTGTGAAACTACAGAAAAGATACATTTATTCTTGCTCATAAGATCAGGAATATTTTCTTGGGGAGAAAAAGGCATAGAAGCCCAGTTTCTGAGAATGTGCTAAGTCTTGTTAGCTGGCTAATAAGAAAAGTGGCACTGTTGCAAGAGGAACGGTTGCACCGAAACAARGAGGCATAATCATGGTTTCCCAGAAATACAGATTCATCTGATTGGTGTAAAGAACAAGTGGGGAATGGTGGAATTTGAAACTGGAGTTGTAGGTGTAGGTTGAGGCTTGAAAAATTAGGTGTAATAGTCTTTAATTATCAAAGTGGGGAAATCTAATGCATTTGTTTATTATTTCAGTCTAAATGACAAAATGTTTCATCAACCCAAGTGTTGGTACTTACCCGGAATGCTTTGTTGTCCTATAATTATAGAAAATTAGAGCATTATAGTGGTTTCAAATGTCTACCATGTATATTTACATTAAAAATAACTATGTTGACCAATTTGCTTTAATTTTCAGAGATTACTTTGCATAAATCCACCTCTGTTTGAAATTTATCAAGTCTTGCTAAGTCCAACCCAACATCATGTAGCACTCATCGGAATAAAAGGACTTATGGTATTAGAATTACCTAAAAGATGGGGGAAGAATTCTGAATTTGAAGGTGGAAAAGCAACAGTGAATTGTAGGTAAGTTGTATGTCTACATAATTTGTTATACATACAGATAATTATTCAAGATCAGGGATTCTTAAAGTAGGGTTAGTATGTTACTGTTGAACCTGACCATTCCTTATGGTCTTCAGACTGGCTTCTGTGATATGAATGCTTATAGAATATGTGTGGTTATTCTTTTATTCTGCTTGAATTGTCACATTTCTGTCTTATTGGAAGTTAGGCTATGTTTTGAATTTGTTAGAAATATGATCTTTAAAAAGCACTTATTGTCTAGGAGCCAGAAGTTTGCTTAGATGTTTATTTCTATATATAATTTCTTTTTGAAAAAATAAAGAAAAATGAAGATCTGAATGATTACTGAAAAGAATATAAGGTGGAGACCTTTTATTAGCTCTATAGTATATAAGTGAAATCCCTTTGAACTGTATATTTTCTAGATCTGATTCCTAAATTTCAAAATAATAATGATAATTTCTTACTAATAAAAAGATCAGATACTGTTTTGAAGAATGTTTGTAAAGCACTGATAAAATATGCTACAATTGAGAAAATGCTTTTATTTCAGTTCTGTAATATTGATTGAATAAGTGCTTTGAATGCTGTCTCCTCAAGATTTAACAGAAAAATTTGAAGGAAAGAAAGGCAGTGAATATTAAAATAGATTATTGTTTCATCCAAGTTCTAAAAATATTTTTGAAAAATTTGTTATCTTTATTTTAGCACCACTCCAATTGCTGAGAGATTTTTCACCAGTTCTACCTCTCTGACTCTAAAGCATGCTGCCTGGTATCCAAGTGAAATGCTAGATCCTCACATAGTGCTATTAACATCAGACAATTTAATAAGGTAAATTTTCTTTTTACCTCTCTTGTACCTTTGCAAGTGTGAAGGCTCTTTTTCACTTTGCTCATTCACAGCTCAGGTTTACACTAAATAAGTCACTGGATGTTCAAATGCTTTTATTTGATGGCTATTGTAACCCATTCTCATTCATAAGAATTGCCAAACTGCTTTCCCTAAGTTACATGCTTTAATTTCTGCTGTTCCTTCTCAACTAGTCTTTCTGCCTCCAGTATCTCTGTTCCTGTTCTTTCCTATAAGTACTGTTTTCCCCAAACTTTTCATCATGTCACCCTTTGGTGATAGTGTATCACAGGGGAAAGAGAATATAAGTAGAAATGAGAAATTTGAATCTTTCCTCCACAGCCACTTCTATTATCTTTGAGATCTTAAGCTTCTTTTGGAGGCAAAGGGGCTTAGTTTCCAATTTTTAAAATGAGCAGATTTGATTTGATAATTTCTGA